GACAATTGGTGGCATGGCACAGCTTCTGATGGAAGCATAGGGTTGTTTCCTGGTGAGTCTAATGGTATTTTTTCTTTTACAAACTTATGCAAATTGTTTTCTCACTAATTTTATTAGCCAATTATGTGAGAATTGAACCTGAAGCTTATGATCATGTGGGTGAAGAAGATTCTGGCTACATGGCAGTAGCAATATATTCTTACACCACTGATGAACCAGATGAAATAAGCTTCACTAAAGGTGCAATTATAACCAATATTACATTTGAATCTGACAATTGGTGGCATGGCACAGCTTCTGATGGAAGCATAGGGTTGTTTCCTGGTGAGTCTAATGGTATTTTTTCTTTACAAACTTATGCAAACTGTTCTAACACAATTCTTACAATTTTATTAGCCAATTATGTGGAAATAATTGAACCTGAAGTTTATGATCACACAGGTGAAGAAGATTCTGGCTACATGGCAGTAGCAATATATTCTTGCACTGCTGATAAACCAGATGAAATAAGCTTCACTGAAGGTGCAGTTATAACCAATATTACATTTGAATATGACGATTGGTGGCAAGGCACAGCTCCTGATGGAAGCATAGGGTTGTTTCCTGGTGAGTCTAATGGAATTTTTTCTTTTACAAGCTTATGTAAACTGTTCTAACAGAATTCTCACTAATTTTATTAGCCAATTATGTGGAGCTATCACAAGAGTGAGAGAATCATTGATAGTATGGCTTGTAGAAGTCTGATTTGCTAAAACTACTAATTTAATACATCATTCCAAGAATCGTTGTTTATTCTCAGTTGCGTCGTAGTAAGATTTTGGTTATTATTAATTGATTATCAAGTCTTTTTCCCGAAGAGATTGTGAGATGATCGAAATGGCTGATAGAAACAAGTAGTTTGCTAAACGTCATGCGATGTAATACTCACCTAGGCGTAGATTTTGATTAATCCCCCGGGATCTCCTTGCATTTATTATTATTATAGTCAATCTTTCAGTAGAACGCGTTCATCTACGCTCTATTAACGTTTACATAAAAATACTTTACCATTACATTTTCGAATTCACGTTGTACAAGTCTGTAACACGTGGCTCAGTTATGCAGGGGTTAGAGTTGTTAAACACAAGTTGGATTCGCTTTTTGACAGCAGGAAGGTTCTATAAAAACCCACAAATCACAATAAACGCTGATTTTGGTATAAGATTGAGTTACATGGCACGCGTTCTAATAATGGGGCGAATTATAGATGTCATTCACTGATAATATCGGATATAACGGATAATTAACCAGAGTATGGAAAATTCCATGTTTAATGAGGAAATTTACCAAAGATCCAATTATCCTAACACGTGCCAATCATAGTTAGTAACCAACACCAGTAGTATCATTATTAAAACGAATGTATAATAGAGAGCATAAATTGAAAGTAAGTCGAAATTTGAATTAAATATGCAATATACGTCTGTGCATCAATAGTATAGTACGAAAAAGCCATAGATATGTGCGATTGCCAATAATAAAGTGTGTCGGATCAAAATCGAGCTACTGACGCTTTGTCGGTAGAAACAAGTTATAGAGTGTGAACTCGTATTTGCAACGCCTGACGTTTGCGTCGTCGATATCACGATACCCACAAATACAAAAGAGCAAGTCAATCACTTGATGATGAATAGTGGGCGACAGCATTACGGCGTTGATCTGTAGCCATACCCATTGTCGACCTTGCCCATCCTTTTTAAACAGAACAAGAAATCAAGCGTCTCATTACGTCAGATGAAACAAAAAGTTTATTATAAATATACTACTAATTCATTTGCTTGTTAGATTGAAAGAAAAAAAAACATCTAACCGTACGCTGCAAATAGTGATTGAAATTCCAGCTTAGCTAGCCATCAATGGACAGCCCATCCACAGACACGTATATGCGAATAATGCTCTATAATTTGAATACACACCCACTTTTTCGACTTGTAAATTTATTTCACATCTCTGTATTCGGCTTCAAATATGTCGCCACGTTCCTCTTCTTCAACATTGAGAGGTATATCATATTTGCGTCTTGATGGTATCACAGTAACAGTAACTTTCTTCACCGCAATAGTCCCATTCACCTCCTCCCCTACTGCTCTGACAATTCCCTGCTCATTATTTGCACCTATGACCATGAATTCAATCGCAATCTCCCTTTTCTGATAATTCTCATAGGATCCAGAGGTAGTCACGCTCGAAGAGGATGTTGAATAAGGTTCTGTAAAAGCAGGAGAGAATTGACCTGAATAACCTAGGTCGTATTTCAGATCCGTCAAGCTAATCTCACACGCTTTCCGAATCTTGGAAACTGCTTCAGAGTAAAGTTGGTCAACTGCAGGTTGCGTACGGGAGAAAGGTTGAGTAAAATCATCGCGAAACACCTCTTTGAACATCCGGGATAGCGGCGTATCGGGAGGATAAACTATCGAGCTATTAGATAAACGTCCGCTAGGTGAATAAATGTCGAAGATCCTCCTTAGAAATCTGTAGGCACCGAACGCAAGGACACTGGTCATCGCAATAAAAACAAATGTGGGAAACAATATGGCTGTAAGAACCACACCGCCGATAGTAGCCATTATCTTCAATCCATCTCGTGGAATAGGCGCGCGAGGGTTTGTCGAGTACGATCGTGATGGAATGATTTTGTGATGAAATACAATAGAATGTCTTGGTAGTGATCTTGATACTAGTGGGTTGTTATAAGAGGCTTTAAACAAACGCGAGTCTACACGGTTAAAGTGATCCTGAAGCAAGGGTCGCGGCAGTTTTGCTGATACGTCAGTATGTCCGGGCCATGGCTTTTGTCTTAGCATGAACGCTAATATTAGAGAGAATAAGCCATTATATCTAAAAAAGTCGCATTTCTCGATAGTCAGGCAAGCAAGTTACCGTTTCCTATCTTGAAGTTTACTTTGCCCTGCGTGCAGTTACTATTGCGACGAATAAAGGTCGTCACATTTATTCTTGCTGTGTTCCGCCAGGTGCTTGTGAAGATTGGCAGCATGTTGGAGAAAGGAGTGCTAAAAAAAACCGCACCAACGCTAAACTATTTACCATCGAACAAACTTCCGGATATATTTGATACCCGGTATATTATACGAATTTACAAACTCAAAAGGGAAAAAACCAATTACGGTATTTTATTATACTAAGAACTTTCTAAACTTTTTTACAATGGCGAGACCAAGATCGCGCGTTCCTCGACTTAATCGCCATGGCTCGTCCTCGTCCTCTCGTGCTAGTAATCCACCTTTAACGACAACGCCTACAGATCCTCTTTCGACGCCAGTCTCGATCGCTCGCTCAAACGCGTCCGGCCATAATGGCAGCCATCCTTCCACACCCCAGCAAGTGCCGTCGCCGTTTTTGATCTTTGGAAGGCGCGAGAGTTGGGGTAGTACCATTAGTGCGGAAGCAATGGCAAGTTGGGATCTCGAGGACAGATTGAGACTTTGGAGACACGATGCGTTAATGCATAATATGTACGAGACTGCCGCGTTTTGGGGAAACAAGGTTATGACAATGACTCGTAAGTTGTCAAACGATTGAGTTGGTGGTAAATTTTATTCATAATTGAAAATAAAAAAAACCCCTCGATTTTAACCCAGTTTTTCATATATTATCCAGATGATCCAAGCGATGTATACTGGTTAGCACAAACATATTTCCGAATGGGACAATATGCACGGGCACAGCGTGTCATGGCAGAAGTGATGGATTCGAGTGTCGCGTGTCGCGTTCTTGCAGCACAGTGTTCTGTGAGTGATCTTTTGCTTTTCTACAAAATGCAAACAGCATGCTATCGACATGAAAAGGAAACCGTTGCTGAGTTTAATAGAAATATTATCTAGATTCGCATGGAGCAGTACCAGAAAGCTTTGGATATCCTTGGCGAAGAAAATCCGTTTCATCCAGGTTTGTTTTTTTTATATAATGACTTTCTTTAATCTCTACGCCCTCATTTTCCTTTCTCTTTTTTGATTAGCATACTAGATCAGTCTTTATGCCATTTGTTGTTTTCTTTTCTTTCTAGTATTATTATCTACCGGAACCCTTTCTTTTAACTGGCTTTTTATTTTATTTACTTACTCCACTCGGTTAACAGCTACATCATGCACAATAGATGTTCCTTATATCCTGAGGCTAATGCAAATAAAACCCTTTTGAATCAATTCGCCCAAACACCACAGAAATCGACGCACGAGTCATCAATACGGAAGGCGGAATTAAAGTAAGTTTTTCACTTGATTTAAATAAGTAAAAAATAAGTCGAGGTTTATTACTTTATTTATTGGCTTGTTTGCATCTAATTAGCTCGAAGCGATGATGTGTTATCTTCGAGGAGTGGCATACTTGCAACTGGCTAATTTAGAACAAGGGAAAAAATGTTTCCAAGAAGCCGTGGAGTTGGACGTGAAATGTTTTGAGGTAACGAAACTTAAACGTATTGCTTTCTAATGATGTGTAGATTATTTATTCTTTGTACTTATTGATCAGGCCTTTCATGCTTTAATATCAAATCATATGCTGACAAGCAGCGAAGGTACGACCATTACCGCACGCCATTTTATGATTGATTTTACCGAATCACTTATTTTTATACTTACTCTGTTGTAGAGTGGAACTTTGTAAATTGCTTGGATTTTGAAGGACAGTGTGGATCATCAGACGCCGAATTTATCAAGAATAATTATGTGTCACTTTTGAAGAAGGTATATAAAAACACATTTTAACATATTATCATCTCTTTCTAATAATTCTGGGATTTTGATCTCAATTTAGCATGAACACGTCAAAGAGATAGAAGAAGCTCGCTCAGTTTTAGAAACAAAATATGGGTTGGCAAAGAACACAGATGTTATACTGAGTCATGCTGAACAATTATATGCCCAATGTCGTTTCAAGGAATGTTTAGATTTAACAACAAAGTAAGTACCATGTATCATGTGTTTATACAAAAAACGATTATTTGTAACCACCATCCATACAACCAGAATATTAGATGTTGATAAATACAATCAATCCTGTTTGCCAATTCATTTTGTTTGTCTTCATGAACTGCGAGAGAAGAATAAGTTATTTTTATTGGCTCACGAGCTTGTCGACTATTATCCTGAAATGGCAGTTACATGGTTTGGGGTTGGTTGCTATTATTATTTAATTGGACAGAACGAAGAAGCAAGGAGATATTTCAGGTGAGCGGGTGCATGTCGAGTTGCTGATTCTTTGTAGAGTATTATTTATACAACTTCTTTTGATAAATATAGCAAGGCATCTACTATAGACTCTCATTATGGCCCTGCATGGATAGGATTCGGACATTCGTTTGCCCTCGAATCAGAACATGACCAAGCTATTACGGCGTACTCTACAGCAGCTAGATTATTCCAAGGGTATGGATTTATGAATACAGTACAAGTGATTTTCACGATATAATTCTGTGTTTTTGATCGTCCTTTTTTTTTAAAGATCTCATTTACCAGTCCTGTTCATTGGAATGCAACACCTTCAGGCGAGCAATCTCCTAGCTGCTGAAGAATATTTGCTTACCAGTTATCAAACCTGTAAAGGAGACCCCCTGGTGTTAAATGAGCTGGGAGTCTTATATTACAATAAGCAAAAGTATGTACGTGGATATAATTTCTATTTGAGCATTGATGTTGGTATTAAGTTATCACTATCAGTTATCAAATTGCAGTCGGCCATTTTGAGAAAGCGTTGAAGATAATTGAGGAGACCAAATGTCGACCACAGATATGGGTGACAACTTGGATGAATATCGGACATGCATATCGAAGGATGTGGTAAGCGATCTTATTTGGTGACATGATATGGTGTATTGTGGTCATGATTTTAGATGTTATGTTCACCTTATGCACACTGACATTGTATCTTTCCCTATTGACATAAAATTGGGTTTTCAGCGAATTTGATAAAGCGGAAATGTATTATAAAAAAGTAATAGAAATTTCACCGCCAAATGCTGGTGCCTTGGCGGCATTAGCCTATATATATCATGTAAAAGAAGAATATGAGAAAGCTGTCACATTGTATCATGAGGTATAATATGGATGGTGTTGTTCAATATAACAACTAGCGGTAATTTGATAATGTAATACTATATAACTTACACAGGCACTGGGTATTATGCCAGTCGATTCCTCGGCACAAGATCTACTTAATAACTGTCTTGAGGAATGGATAAAACGCAAGCAGTCGCAACAAGATAGAGAGTTGAAAATGCTCATCAATGGGGAGGATGTCTCTGATGGTGAGTGTTACTTTGCCAAATGACAGTTTGACGTTCAACAATTCAAATATTGTTTTAACTCTGTCTAAATCTATCCAGATACGCTACAAATACTTGATTAATTTATACATCGCGTTTTATGTAACTAATGATAAACGATTGTTGTAAACCAATTTTTTAAGCCTTGTACGGTATACATACTGGTTTTGTTGCTTCTGCCATCAATTCATTCTACAACTAATTACACTTTTCAAATTATGCCGAGGAAGTTGAGAGAAAACACTTACAGGGCGAGTCTTACAATAAATAGCTCATATATTATTCACGGTACTAGCATAGCATCCAAGAAGACAAGAACGAAAATAAATGCACAGTAGACATATTACATTAGTAATCATCGAACACTTTTCAAGTGATGTTTTTTATTCACAATTATGCCCAACATTCATATCAACACCAACAGATACTATTTTAGTTTCTCTTAGCCTTGTAATAGTTAACCAAACCGTTTGTGCTAGCATCGTGAGACGACACAGGTGTAACGTCTTGGTTCTGCAGTTCTGGCAGGATCTTCTTGGCTAGTACTTTTCCAAGTTCAACACCTACGAAAAATATTGGCGTGAATAACGGATCCAATAAATAATAGACATGCATTCTCTATTCTCATAAACAAACTTACCCCATTGATCGAACGAATTAATATTCCAAATAATTCCTTGAACGAATATTTTATGCTCATACATGGCGATCAACGCACCCAGTGTGCCGGGCGTAATTTTCTGAACCAATATACTGTTCGTGGGCCTATTTCCCAAGAATATCTTATGAGGGACTATATGTTCTTTATCGGAAATATCTCCCAACTCGGAAATAACCTCTTCTTTCGACTTTCCAAGCATCAACGCTTCAGTTTGAGCAAAGAAATTTGATAAAAGAATTTCATGATGTTTGCCATTACCAATGGAGTTGTGTGTCTGAATTGGTGCAATAAAGTCTGCTGGAACAATTTTTGTGCCTTGATGGAGAAGTTGATAAAAGGCATGTTGGCCGTTGGTACCCGGTTCGCCCCAGATGATAGGTCCCGTTTGGTACGTTACCGTTGTGCCTTCGCGAGTCACGTATTTACCATTAGACTCCATATCACCCTGTAGACAAATAATTATGAGGGGGTTGTACAATTAGAGCATGCGAGAGGTCACAATCTCAACTCTCCAACGACGTTTTCAAAACACGCAACTCATCTCCTAATCAATTACCTGCTGAAAGTAAGCCGGGAACCTATGCAGGTACTGATCGTACGGCAAAATAGCATGTGTTTGTGCTCCAAAGAAATTATTATACCAAACTCCCAGCACTCCCAAAATAACAGGCAAATTCTGTTCCAACGGCGCGTTACGGAAATGATTATCCATATCATGCGCTCCGCTCAACAATTGATGGTAATTGTCGAAACCTATATAAATAGCAATCGATAACCCGATCGCGCTCCACAAAGAATACCTTCCCCCTACCCAATCCCAGAATCTGAACATGTTCGCCGGATCAATTCCGAATTTGGTTACAGCATCGGAATTGGTGGATATTGCTACGAAATGCTTGGCTACGTGAGATTCATTCTTTGCAGTCTCGAGGAACCACGCCTTTGCTGATGTCGCATTCGTAATAGTCTCTTGAGTGGTAAAGGTCTTGGAGGCAATAATGAAGAGTGTTGTTTCAGGGTTTACTTTCTTTAGCGTTTCAGCCAAATGAGTACCGTCGATGTTAGACACAAAGTGTGTCTTTATGTTGGGTTTAGCATATGGCTTCAAGGCTTCGGTCACCATTACCGGACCAAGATCGGATCCGCCAATTCCAATGTTAACAATATCTGTAATTGGCTTTCCTGTGTATCCCGTCCATGAGCCATCTCCAATAGCATTTGCCGTGTTTTTTATTTGATCAAGGACTTCGTTGACCTCGGGCATTACATCCTTTCCATTATCGTAAATAGGAGTGTTTGAAACATTCCTCAATGCAACGTGCAAGACAGCACGGTCCTCCGTAAAGTTTATGTGCTCACCAGAGAACATTTTGTCTCGAAATCCTTCTACGTCTGCTTCTTTCGCTAATTGAATCAATGTAGCAAATGTATCTTGGGTGATGACATTCTTTGAAAAGTCGAGTAGTATTTCGGCATCGGTGAGCGAGCCCTTGAACTGACGGGAAAAGGTTTCGAAACGAGTGGGATCTTTAATGAAAAGCTCCCTCATTATGTATTGTTTTGCTTCTGAATCATAGTGTCGTTGTAGGGTGTGCCACGCTGCAAGCTCGTTTGCGAGAACCATTGTTGAAGTGGGGAATAACACGAAAGATGTCGAGATCAGATGGTAAATGCATCTAGGTTATATAGGGCAAGAGAAATTTCCTGGAGGGGCAAGCTTTCTTACCGTTTTTGATCTTGTAATCAGTTACCATTGGTTGAAATACCATAAAAAGTTAGATCGTTTACACGAACATTCTTTGTGACACCAGAGTTTCAGGTTGTTCGGGAGACATTCATTGCTGAAACATCGGTTCAGCGAATCAGGTAATCATGTTGAGCATTTACTAACCAGATAATAATACACATGTTTCATGCATTGGACAAGACGGTGTATAATGAGGATAAGGGAAATAGCTTTGCAAACAGCAGCATTGACCGGAAAAAGCAAGTTGACGAATTAGACTACTTGTAAATAGAAAATAAACATGAGCAATAGTGAGGGGGAATTCCGTATGTTAATTAATATAGCTGTTTACACGATTGATTGATTCAATGAAAAACAATACGGAATTTCGTTGTATACGTAAAATCTGTAAAAGCCCGTCATGACTAAGCAAACTAATTTATAATAAAAAGAGTCCAAGTAACGTCATTGGACGAACGATGTGACGGGTATCGCTACGCAAACCTTATATAATTATTAGTAATGTCATAAGGAGACGTTGGTCATATTCCTCAATTTTTGTACGATGACACGTTTTCGTATACCATATTAATATTAATATTAATGTGATCGTCTCTGCTGTTTGGTTATAGAATAGGACATTCCCGCATTAATATGATGCGTGCGTCGATTACTATTTCCAGAATCAATTCATTTGTATCTGGCGAGTAAATTATTATGGCCAAGTTACATAAAGCACCCGAAAACCCTATACAGCATGTACGATTTTCTGTGACATTTTCGCACAAATTCAATGCCTTTGAGGAGATAACTGTAATTCCCGTAAACTTAACGACTGTCAGCCTTCTACTTGGGAACAAGATGTATCGAATGTTTAATGGAAAAAAAGACGGAACACGCTATATAAAAAATGACGATCTGGTTTTGATTGGACATCATCATCTTAAGGAACCCAAATATTGCCACTTGAGGGATTGTTACCAAATCATTGCGAATAGTCCAAAGCCATATCGCGATAATGTTACGTTTCGATCGATAAAGTCTGACAAAATACCAAAGATTCTCCCGAAAGAGTGACGGTGGTCATGTTCGAAGACCTACGGGGGGGACAAAAGTATTGCACACTTTTATATTTATGATGTTGAAAAAAAATTATATGTAATAAAAAAACTAAATTTTGTACCGTCTACTGTACCATTTGCCTAAATGAAATGTTTATTTTGATTTAATAAAATGGGTTGTGATGACTACAAAAAAAATTTACAAAAAAAAACACTATTTTTACCTTGACGCGTAAATGAGTTTCGACAAAGCGCTTACTGATTCTCAAAAAGGTGGTATAATTGCAACAAAAACGTTACAATAATGCAACAGTCGCAATAATAATAGAATGCCATCGCACAACAGTTCAACGGTTTTTTGCAGCCTAATCAGGCAAAAACGATCAGGTCGGCCGCGCATTCTCTCAATCAGCGGGATCGACAAAAATTGAAAATCGCTGTTGCTGCGAACTAAAAACACGGCGACAAAAATATGAGAAATTACTAAAACAATTTTTAAAGCTAAAAACCGACGAATTTCCATGCACGTTCGTGTATTCCTTTAAAAAGCCTCTCATCTTAGAAAAAATTCGACTCGAGTGGGCAATGGAAAGGAATGATTGGACTGTTGCAGACTGGAAGAAAGTCATATGGTCGGATGAATCTACTTTCTCTCAGTTGCGGTTGCACTGAAAAAACGCAATCCTCAGCCTTCAAATGTTCACAAACTTGAGAGGGCAGCAAAAGAAGAGTGTAATGCGCTTCTGCAAAAAGTATATCGTAATTTGATATTGTCCCAACCGTATTCAAGCTGTGATTGCTGCAAATGGAGAAAATACTAACTATTGACGTTCACTTTAAGTAAATAAAATTTCTTTTGTTTAATAAAAAAACTTCTTCAATATCATAAATATAAAAGTGTGCAATACTTTTGTCCCCCTCCGTATGTACTGAGCCTAAAAAATACAAGAAAAAAATTATCCCTTACTTTACAGAAGGCCGCCACTCTAATATCAGTTCGATCTACGTAACTCAAAGCTTTTTCGACTGTCCAAATTTAATAAGAAAAATCCGGATTATATTGTACTCTTTAATGGAGCCGGACATACGATGAATTGGTTGATATTGTTAGGCGTTATACAAAAAAATGGCGTAATGCTGTTGATACAATTGATAAAAATTTGCAAGGTCGACAGTTCATTGTAATTGACTTGACTAGAGCAAAATCTATATTCGTTTGGGCGGGACCATGCTTTGAAATTAGAGGAATTCACGCTAAATAGATACATTACTAATTTGATGTGGTATTTCTTCTCTAATATTTTGTAAACATGCATGCGAGTTTCTGAGCATTGAATCCATAACTTATATGTAATGCATACTTATTGTCATAATCATATCCGAAATTCATAATTTATACCACAGTATTTATTTCCAGTACATGAAAATTTCCATTCCTATATATGGTTATAATTTCCTATATTCTTTTTTCTTTGTCCAGTATATACTAATTGATCACAAGAGAAACAGATTGCTATTCCAATTTACCAAACTGGCAACCAAAATTGAAACCTTGGGCCGTTTCCAAGTCAGATTCAAGTGGAGACGACGGCATATTCGGTGAGGAGACGAGAGACGGTGGTTCGGATGTATCGGATGGTGGAGACACTGATGGATTGCGTATCGGAGGCGTCACCGATCGTGGAGGTGGCAGGAGCATATGAAGTGCCGTCCGGAAGCGCATAATATAGAATAGATATATTGACATGCAAGATATTCATAACTTTGTGTATCAGCCTTAGGAGACAAAACTCTGCATTTGAATGAGCCGCATTATTAATATGAATTTGAATACAGTATTCCCATCTGTTTCTTGCATTGGAATTTCAATTGTACATAGATTATAGAGACGATGTATCTCATCCATACCTCAAATGAGAACATTTAGATTTAGACGCATCTCAGTTCCAGCAATTTGGATTCCAATAATACCGAAATTATCTTCGGCTGGTTTACAACCTTTCTGCGCCCAATACATGCCGTCGTTTGTTTCCCTCCATAGTTATGCTTCCAGGTAGCTCGGCATCCCTTCATGATTGAGCTCGGTGTGCTTAATGATACCACGAATTATAACCATAATAGCTATTCCCGCAAACGGTCGGTTTCTTTTTTTTGATGATGCGGGAACTTTCAGCAAAAATTAGTTCATATGACATATTATTACAACTCATGATCAGGTCATTTCCCAACTCCTCTTCAGTCTTTGCTGGCTTTACTTTGACGTTCGGCAGTGCTTATATAACCAGATTTTCCAATTTGATAGTCTGTAATGTTGCTGGCTCTTTGGGAAAGTAAGTTTTACACAACATTCTCAACACTACGGATTGTTGTATCTTGCTCTTACTACCTGAGATGTCTCTAATCTCCCTTGCACATTTTGTCTGCATTGTTCCACAGTCATTCCTGAAGGCTTCAAGTACAAGGAACTGCAACTTGGACTCATCCAGTTTGATCAGATTTTTGATCATCATCAGGTTTTTCTAACTTTTTTCATTTCAACTCCATTATAGAACTGCAATTTTTCAGCCAGAATTGGATGTGTGTTGGAGGAGATACTCATCAATGGCCAGGTTTCTTTTGGTAATGTCAAATTTCTTTAATATCTTGTGCTGTACTTCAATTGTTGCTGTTGTTCTTCTGGTACATTTAGCAACTCTCTTATTAATGTTTCCCCACAACATGCCTCCTGCAACTTCTGTGATTTCTTGTTAGATTCCTTCCAGCTCTTATTGTGTAAACCTTTATAATTCAGAATATCCATAATACTGTCTATGAAATTAAAAACAAACTCACCACACTTATCCTTAATAAGTGGAGGGGCTGTTACTTTCATATTAATATGTTCTGCTGGATCCTATTGGTTCCAAAAACAATTCCATTAATTGTAACTATGATGGCATAATAGAATATTTGATGTAAGCCAGTACATCAACAGAAATTACTTACCATAAAATAGTTATATGCTTCAGGTTCTAATGTTCTCCCCATTTCCAGATTATTCCATGTCAAATCAGAAGCAGTTTTCTTCTCTAGATACTTTCTAAAATGTTTAGCATATAGGGCCTTGCTATGCTTAAGGTTGGTTTTTAACATTCACAAGTTTATCTTGATTTCTTTATTGGTGAGTGGTTCTTCCTGTTTTGATTCTTTGATGTTTCAAAGACTGCACACACCTTCATATGCATCATCAAACTAGTTATAGTGCAGAAAACCTTATGTTAGATCTAATATAGTCAAGTCATCATTTTTATGATCATGTGTGCACACCCCATCAGAATCTTTCACATGAATTATCAACCATATGTGGCCAGCATACAATTAATAACACATATGAATGGCATACTATCTCTTCAAAAACCAAAACTAAGATCCACCCCTGTGTGTCTAAGGAATATGCAATCGATAACCTGTGCCCACATGGCTATGGGCTTAGTTTGATTATAAGAATGCTTTCTGCACTATTGTCAGATGGGTTTATTATTATAAAACCTGATAAATGTTAATTACTAACCTTCAAAGGAATTTCAAGTAGTTTTAGATACTTTTCCAAGTTCAGCTTGTAAAACTTTTTCACTGTCATAATTGCCTGGTGAATCACTTGTCTCAGCTCCTCCTTCGAATACCTCTATTACTTGGAAAGTGATGGAAAATGCAGCAATATGGTCTGGAGGGGATTCAAGTAAAAAATTGTAAATGTTTTTATATAATGCAGATCAGCTCATTGTAACAATATGACCTATTACTATATGTACAAGTACTTTTCTTACCATTTTACTACTCTTCAATTTCCATCCTTCATTACTCTTGCCAGTTTCTGTCCATGTATCAAAGGAAATTGTATCAAAATCAATTATGCCTTCTTCATTATCCTTGTCTGAGCTCTTCTCATATTCTTCGTTTTCATACTATCAGACTCATCTTTGAATTGACATTGTAAGAGATGTTTCATGCAAAACTTATTCAGTCAAACCATTCATTTTGTGTAAAATCCAATTTTTTAATATTTCAAATAGTGGCATACTTGATTATAACTAGATGGAACTTCTGATTTTTGCTTCAGAGTGGACTAGGTGTTGTCTGATTAATGGACAGAATAATTCTTCATGAATATACATACATTCTCTCATTGTATATGTTTCTACTTATAGCATAATCAAAGTAACTTACTTGTGATTATATCACTAGTATGAATGTCAGAATAGACATTCAATTTTATGTGAGATGCATGTTGTTTCTGCATAAGATATTTAGTATTAGTAATTATATTTACAGCATGAGAATCTGAGAAAGAAATACATACTTTCTGCACACGTTCTAACACAGCACTCCTCTTTATCTGGGTTGAATGTGTATCCCACAGCTCTTTACCATAACCCCCTAATGTTTGTAATGGATTGGGGAGAGTAAGATTATATTAATATGTGTATAAGCTCGCTCAACAACATTCAAAGGTCATGACATATGCAAACTTCGGGCAAGCGCGTAGATTGCCTTCTACAACAAAGTTGTTCGACACGTAGTTGCAGGAGTAGTTAACACTCGACACATAGTCGCGAAACGCAATCATGACAAAGATGACAAGATACAGCCTCCCTCCACTTCGGGCAAGCGCGTAGATTGCAAAGTTGTACGACACGTAGTCGCAGGAGGAGTTAACACTCGACACAGTCGCGGAGCGCAATCATGACAAAGATGACAAGATACAGCCTCCCCTCCACTTCGGGCAAGCGCGTAGATTGCCTTCTACAACAAAGTTGTTCGACACGTAGTTGCAAGAGCAGTAATAACACTAGACGCTAGCCGTACATACAACATCTGTTAAGAAGAAAAAAAGAACTGACCTTCAACGAGGCTTGGAGTTGCGCTGCCGTTTTGTATTCCTGACTATTTTCGCCAAGCTTTGAAACTTCCCTTATGTGTGAAAGTTGGCATGTTGGATACTTAGATATGCGAAGCTATGTCACGTAGAAAATTTTTTCACAAAGACAAAAATGTCTTTTTTTTTTTTCAATTTATTAGTACATATCTGTGTTACGCAACTTTTATCGCGACGCATAATTGTACTTTTGTCCAATAAACGACAGCTACACGCTTATTATTATCGCTCTTTTAGACTACATAAAGAGTCATGTTCTAAATCAAGAAAGCGAAAATCAAAACAATCCGAATTAGGAAAAGATAAAGTAGATACAGTATCCTGGACTTAATGATATCCGACTTTATCATAATAATAAATAATAAACGTACTTTTTATTTGCATGTTATGAGCCAATGCAAACTGTTTTAAAATGTAAATATAATAGATAATTTCAATTTTATAAAAAGGGAAGCGATTTCGCTTTCTTTGAATTTGACACTGAAGGTACAATTGTATCAATGTATTACAAATGATATTACAATATTACGATGAATAAATGATGACATAAGATAATAAAGTATTGTTTACGTTGCTAAAATAGTAAAGATTATCCGTAAAAAATCATGTGGTCCGACTTATCGAGAGTCATTTGTTATAATCTGGTCGACAGGATTGTCCGAGTTACGACCTATTATTATCGCGATTTTATTCCGACTTATCGAAAATTTTTAACTATTCAAGAAAATTTTTGTCCGAGTTAAGCTAAATCCGACTTATCGAGCGTCCAACTTATCGAGCGTCCGATTTATCGAGTTTGCCTATGTATTTATTAATGTAATGCTCCATGAATCCACACAACTCGATAAGCCGACTTATCAAAAAACCGACTTATCGAAGACATATGGCCATAAGAAGACCCGATCTAACATTTTCTAACTAATAACTCTCGTTATAAGAAATTTTCGATATGAAAGAGTATTTGTCCCAGTTTCTTGTAACGGGTTTTACTTGTATTGAGAAAAAGGATTGGGAAGTTTTGGCCTTCTTAGGCCAAAATTGAGACCGACTTATCGAGTTTACATCTTTCAAATTCTTCCATACTCAAAGCGCAGTTCAATAGCTGGATTATCGTTTTACTGAAGTTCATCGTTCACTATAGATCTAATCAGTTACTTTAATATTAACTCTATTTTGCTGAGATCATACAGCAGAGTTTTATGGTTTTTGCATTGATTGCAAGTTGTTCTTAAAGTTCCATGCTAAATCAAGAAACTTCTGCTTTATAATCTTGTTAGTTTATCCGCAAAAAAATTACTAAACGGGCTACTTTTTCACTATAGTCTTGTACGCACAGCTTGCTGTGATAGTAATGATCAAGTTATAATGTTCTGGCTATTTAGTCAATTATAGTCACTAAGTAAACATATTAATGTAATTCCTAATTTAGATTGGTTTGATTTCCGCTTTCTCGATTTAGAACATGACTCTTTATAATAGGAACTAGTCTAAAAAAGCGATAAGCGATATTTGCGTTTTCAAGTTTCTATGTTGTTATGCTATTAATACTAAGTTAGTATCAAGTTGTACTTTTTATTAGTAAGGTAAACTGAATTACGTAAAACAAAGATTGCTGAATTTGTAATTTTGCCAAGTCTGACGCAAACATTTTAAAGCCAGTGAGTCGCCTCAATTTTTACTTTCATCCTCTTTCACCTTTTCCCTCATGTTAATCTTCTCCCTCCACTCTCTGCCCTTAAAATATGTAACTGTCAGCAGACAAGCTCCCAAGATCTCAAGACAACCTAGTATCGTAAATAGCCACCCATTGCCAATTGCATCTTTTATTGGAGTAGCAATGATAGACATTACAGAAGCGGAGATGTACCGCAGACAAATGTTGACCGACATAACTGATGCTGACAGTCCAGGAAATGCATCAATCAGGTAAGACACCATACTTGAAGTTATTAGAAACATGCTTATGCCATCTATTCGGATGTAATGCAAATGCGTATAATTTAGTAATTCAGTTTCCAAGCCAATCTATTAATTGCATCTGTAACAACTGCAGGCATTCTCCCAATATGCAATTCTTGCTATTTAATATGTACATACCAAAAAACATAGCAAGCAGAGGCCATGCAATGAACACACTTTTCTCTACACACCAGCCATAAGCACTAATAGCTACCGGAAAGAAGATGGCTCCCAACCATGCGCTTTTCAATCTCATTTCTGCGTATTGCACTCCGTTGTTCTTCCTTGTCTGCCTTGCAAGCATCATATCCGTGTACTTTCCGCCCAACACGCTTCCTATGATGTATCCTGACCCGCTAGATAAAAATACAAACCCTGATGTGGAAGGTGATAAAGAATAATGGTCAACTTGAAACGTAGCCGACACAAGTGTGTCTTGCGTGTATCCCGTGGAAAACAATATGGAGATGCATGCGACCACGAGTGCGACATTCGGATAACGCAGTAGGCGGAGAGGTGATAGGAAGAGAAATATGGAAGATAACCGATTATGCTTTTTTTTAGGCTGGGGCGGGAGTGTTGGAGATGAGCAAGTCGGAAGAGTTGTAGGAAATGTAAGAGCCGAGGGTGAAAGGTTAGTGGTTGGAGATGTTGGAGCAATGGTAGTAGATGTTGGGGATGAAGAGAAAAGAGTCGTGGTAGGAGAGGTTGGAGATGACGGATTCATGGATGCTTTAGACATATCTAGAGGGATGTCAATACGAATTTGATTATCGTTTTTTCTTGTCTCATTCAGGTCCTCTTGCTTTTCTAGTTCATAGTTGATCACATCGTTACATGTCACTGGTAGTCTCTCGTCCTCTCTTTCTTCGCTACCCTCTATACACTTTTCTGATTCGTTTGGTATTCTATATGTTTCTGGTAGGAAAAACATTACTCCGAACAAGAGCGTTCCAAGAATGACGAGCAGCCAGAAAATCCACCTGCATGATTAAAAAATGTTGTATAACCCTATTAGGATATTTTATATTGCAACATCCGTTTACGTGTTTACCTCCATCCCAAGTATTCGTCAATATAACCGCTTAATTGAGATTTAAAACAACAAAAACCAGTGAGCGCACAGATTTAACGCGTGTTTCATATTATGCAGTAGACTGTTAACAATATTTACCCAATGACTGGTCCCGCCAGTGGAGCTGCAAAAAGCAAAAGAAAATTAAGCATTCAATGGACAATGAGTAGCCAAAAAAGTACGATATATCAAACGATTCAAAGCTGCCTACTGAGATAAGACTGCTGTTGTATTATAATTTGTATCGTCTGTCGTGCTTATGGCTTACCAAGTAATACTCCTCCGAATTGAATTCCATATGCAGTTCCACGATCTACCACGTGGGTTTATATCAGTAAGGATAATGGTTTTCTGGTAAGGAGAGAGAGCTATGGTTATATTCTAAAACTTTATACCTTCAACTCTGTATATGTCACTTAGCGTTCCGGCTCCAACGCTCTGCACTGCCGATGCCCCAGATGCTTGTAGTGCTCTCATAATAATCAACAGCCAGATGTTTGGTGACAGAGCGCAAACTGTCGATGCAATAACTAATGTTGCAGATGACAAGAGATAAACATTACGTCTTGCTCCATGTTTATCCGAGTATGCAGCCCAACCGAGTGGCTACAGAGAAGTAAATATACAGTGAGATGTATATGATATCAGTATGAATAGAATTATTGCGTTTTTCACTTACACATATTCCCATGCTCAGAATATACACTCCGACTGTTAAATAGCGACGTGTGGTTATTAATAAAATGCAAGGCATTAATATTAATTATAGTGATTGCAATATGCATTTTTAATTACTTAGAGAATTCGCCACCGTTTGTGTTGTATCGAATTCATTCTTTATTGTTGGCAACGAGGGGTAAAGTATTCTAAAAACAAAAAATGAGACGTGATTATCAATATGAGCTACGTGCATCAACACGTGACTTGTCAGTTAATATTGGTTATATGACATCTTAAAGATCCCATTTATTACATACTCATTTGACAGTATGTTTATCATTCCAGCAGCAGATATCGTTGCCAGAATAAGGCTTTTCTTTCTTCTTGACCAGTTATGTGGATCATCTTGAATGGCAATATCCTTCTCTTCATGTTCTACGTATTCGATGCCATTCTTCCCGTCGACTAGTCCTGATACCTTTGATTCACCTGGTTGATCATTGACTACAGACATTATTGCGAGCAGTCAGCAGTTTAGCTACTGGAAAAATATCTCAAATATATATATCGATTTATTTATTTATTTTCTGACTATCAAAATACTTACTGGATAAAAGTATCTCCCAATATTTAATATCACAATACCAATGGGGTAATATTATACCTAAATATTATACCATAACCCGCTTGGAATTAACGGTGCTTGCTCCCATTGACTAATGATGACTCTTATTTTGAAATGGATGGTGTGTTAAACTTTAAGTTAGTACAGAGCAGGGGCATATATACTTTATTTGTAACATAACCGTCCACTTGCATTTATTCGATCCAATTTGGGAAGCTGGTACAAAACACACTGTGTCTTCGTTTGGAGATCCGTAACTGATTAGATTAAGGGACAATCTTTTATGATTATGATACAGGATTTGGGTTAGTACAACAAACTCTGAATGTATCGTCCGTATAGCAATCTGCCTCTAGTAAAATCATAATTCGTTTCTATCACACGGAAATGAATTATGGGTGTTGATGTGCATGTGGATATGGCTATGTTAATGTGTGTGTGTCTCAAAACCGTGATAAGCAAGAGATGACACATGCAAACGCTGTCGTTTATTGGCCAAAAGTCACCAAAAAAGTCACATGGGGGCAAAAAAGTAACTTTAAGTCTACTGATATTAATATCCTTGAAACCATTAATTAAATTGTCATCATTGTCCTCAACAGTTGTTATCTTCTTCGCTTCATAATCTAAGTTTGCCTTTCCGCTTTCTTTTTTTTCCCATAGAGTTGTTTTCAGAGGTAAAATTCTGTGCTATAAGACAGCAAATAACATTCAGAAACCTGCTGAAATCATGCGTCGTGAAATAGTTCATAGAATTTTGGATAACAATTACATTATAGAGCAGGCAGGGCGAATATTTAATATTGTGGAGGCGAGTATTGTTTGTTGGTCTCAAGAGTTTATTTCTGAAAAATCATACGCAAGTTATAGAAAAACTATTCATTTGATGGCAACTACCAATTATAATTAAGCAGACTAACCATTTGTCTTGAACAGTATAAATAAAATTAATTCTAGGCCCTGCATGTGAAGTTGACACTTATTTCTATGCGAACTGGTTGATTTATTTCAAGCTTTTAGGGATCTGTGTTACCTCCAACAATTGAAAATTTTATTCGTGTCTTGATAATTAATACTCTTCGCTTATCGATGTGGCAAATGGTCAACTACTCGTGTATACGACATTGGAATAATAGATTATATTCAAGAGCTACATATAACACTTTCCTCACAAGGATATTTGGAAGAGTGAATGTCCCAATCAGAGCTTATTCAACAGTAAGCAGACATCATATGAAAAAAAATATGTATATATTTGGACTATAATTAACATCACAAATTAACTGTAGCTCTGTTAGGATAAGACAAAGATCGATTTGTCAACAATTTCATTAGATCATATACGCAATTTCAGTATCATCGCACATATTGGTATGTATCACTCTCAGAATCATACGGCTTTGGTGATGAAATATTTACATATTCTCACTTTCATGCGTAGATCATGGCAAGAGCACATTAGCAGACAGGTAACAAGAAATGATGATGCATTTCTCGTAATTGTAACTTTGATCCGTTTTTACTTAACTGAGCAAAGTTTTATCGTGGCCTAGATTATTAGAACTCACAGGTAATACTTCACAACGTTCGAGGAATATGCTAAAATAAGCTCGCGATAACAAGCTTGTTTATCGTGCGTCGTTTAATTTAGGCACAATATCACCACATCATCTTCAGCAACAAGTATTGGATAAACTCAACGTAGAACGCGAGAGAGGAATTACTGTAAAAGCTCAGGCAAGTCGATAATATATCTTTTTCTTGGTGGACTATCTGCTTTTCGAACTGAACCTTTGAAGATTTCCATATGACATTGTATCTGTTGTGACATAAGCCTTAATGTTATTTCAATGTTCGTTTTATCAGACATGTTCAATGTTCTACCAGTACAATGGCACCAAATATCTTTTGAATTTGATTGACACTCCGGTAAAACTGCGACCTTTTCTTTTCAAATATCTTCTTCAAATACTATCATTTCTCGTATGAATTAACATCCAAATATTATCCCTAACATAGGGCCATGTTGATTTCAGCTACGAAGTCTCCCGCTCACTGGCCGCCTGTCAGGGAACTCTTCTTCTTGTAGACGCATCACAGGGCATACAAGCCCAGACAGTGGCAAATTTTTTCTTAGCCTTTGATCAGGGAATCACAGTCGTGCCTGTCATCAACAAAGTGAGTCGGGGTTATCAGGATCGACGAGATAGTTGGAAAAGGGATAAGAAAACTGGAGAGGAATAGTACAGAAGGTGATGAGAGCCACAGGACGTGTTCGCTGTGACGAGAATACCACAGTCTATCATGTATCGAGTGGCTGACACCGACTAGTACTGATATTATTTTTATTACAAGATCGATCTCCCTGCTGCACAGCCAGATCGAGTGATACAACAAATCGAAAGTACTTTTGAATTGGACGGCAATGACATACTCAAGGTCTGGCGTTTGTATGTGTTCAATGTTGATTACACATCAAACTAAATCTTTTTTGTATAAAGATATCGGCGAAAACAGGTCTGAACGTAGATCGAGTTCTACCAACTGTGATTGAAAATATTCCACCGCAAGTATCGATCTAGTCATGTTCCTTCCTCATTATTCCCCCCTCCTCTTTCCACATCTTTTTTCTTTTCACACACTGTTCTTCTTGAATCATTAATATTCTATACACATCATGTTCTACAACATCAGGCCAGATGGCGATGTCAATAAACCACTTCGAGCACTGCTGTTTGATTCGTGGTATGATACCTACGTCGGGGTTGTCTGTCTAATGGCCGTAGTTGATGGGAAATTGCAAAAAGGTGAGAAAACAAAGTGAAGGTTAAATCTCTGAAGGTTCAGTCAACTTCTCGGTCATTGAAAATGAAGCGCGAGTAAGTGTAGTTAGGATACTAATGGGGAGTGTTTTTTTCTGTCTTAGGCGACAAGTTATTATCTGCTTATTCTCAAATACGCTACGATGTTATGGAAGTTGGAATTATGCATCCTGAGCAAACATCAACGGGTTATTTGTACGTACGCTCTACTAATGATGACGAGACTAAAGCGATGAGATATTACAGATTGTGATTATTCCAAGTAATAACACTATTTGTTTTATTATGAAGACACGCTGGACAAGTGGGCTATGTCATATGTGGCATGAAAGTAGCATCTGAAGCACATATCGGGGACACGTTTTATCATGTCAAAGCTCCCGTCCAGCCATTTCCTGGATTTGAGCCCGCGAAGCCAATGGTACGTGTTGTACATATTTACCCCTATGCCTTGCATTATTTTTTTTATTTTCCTTAACATCTTGTTTTTTATATTCAAATATCTCCAGGTATTTTCGGGTATATTTCCAATAGACACGAATGACTTTAATAAACTTGACGAATCAATCACGAAACTCACCATCAACGATGCGAGCGTCTCTGTACAGAAAGAATCTAGGTTGGGTGAGGACGCCAGTAATGACAATAATGAATACCACAGAAAGGTGTACTTGATGACAGAGTTCGTACTAACGTTAATATAGTATGGCACTCGGACAGGGTTGGAGAATAGGCTTTCTGGGAACATTACATATGGACGTATTTAGACAAAGACTTGAAGAGGTATGAATGAGCGAGAAAGACATGAAAACATTTGTGGAGTAAGAAATAGTTTATACAACTCGTTGCGGCCTATGGTTAGGAATATGAGGCAAATGTAATAATAACTCAACCGACAGTTCCCTACAAAGGCAAGTTTCAGTATTGATCTTCTACTAAACATTCACATTTCAATTACTCACACTCTCGTCTCTCATCCTTCTCTATTTTCCCCCCCCCCCCACAATATATCTTTTTCTCTACGCCCCGTATTACAAACAGTAACCTATAACGACGGCACCGTTAAAACAATCCGGAATCCTGCCGATTTCCCTGATCCTCACGAAATATCAACATCCGTACTATCCGTCTCCGAACCAATGGTTCTCGGTACTGTCATTCTACCCGATCAATACATGGGTCCGGTAATGGACTTATGTGGAGCTAGGCGAGGTGAACAATTAGAATACACTTATATTGACGAGGCGAGGGTTATTGTAAAGTACATTCTGCCACTCGGGGAAATCGTTAAGGATTTTCATGACGAATTGAAGGGGAGAAGTAGTGGATACGCAAGGTTGGTATCTTGATACATTGAAATTATTATCGAGTTGGAAATGTGGCGTTGGCTTTTGAACATGTTTATATTCTTTTGAGTCGGTTGAAACAATTTTTTTTCAATAGCTTTGACTATGAAGATATGGGCTACCGAGAAGCAGATATTGTCAAGGTGAACCTTCGCTTTTTACTGTACAAAATCTAACCCTACCATAATAACCGTTTGTCCATACAACAGATGAATGTTTTAATAAACCACAAGCCAGTTGATGCCCTCGCCGCCATTCTCCATCGTAGTCAAGCAGAAGTTGTTGGTAGGGAATGGGCAAGGAAGCTTAGAGATGTCATTCCAAAGTAAGCGTCGGATCAAACCCAGGTTTTTCTTGACATTTTAACAAACTGGTCATTGGTTGAATAATTTGCCAATTTCCTTTAGGCAGCTATTTGAGGTTGCAATACAGACAGCTATTGGGAATAAAATTATCGCTAGAGAGACGTAAGTTGCAATGTGATTCAATTTGCAACAATAAGGGGCTGGGAATATAATGATTATTATATTATTGCGTTTAGTATTTCTGCTTTAAGGAAGAACGTCACTGCTAAATGTGTAAGTATTCATTGAGTATTTCGTTCATGTCGCATTCACTGATATAATGGTACGCGTGCCTTTATCAAGTATGGGGGAGATGTCACTAGGAAGATGAAATTATTAAATAAACAGAAGGAAGGCAAAAAGAAGCTCAAAATGATTGGTAAATATTATTACGTTTAACAATAGATCTTGTGCTTTAACAATGCAATGTTATTTATATATTACGTGTCATGTATAGGCAATGTTGAATTGCCCCAAAAGGCATTCTATGACTTCTTGTCAAAGGATAAAGGCAAGTCTAAATAAAGTAAAGAGCAAGATATGGAATTATTAATAGTAATTCTTGGACACACTGGTAGAAGATTAAAGCTCGCGACTTGTATAAAATTGCGCGTGACTCAGATTTATTAAAATCATAATTCGAAACCCTCATATTGTGTCTTGAGGAACTGTTCGTATAAGATAGTTCCCAGTGAAATGGCAGCGTTTTGTTGATTTTCCAAATGCGATGGACTAGTATATTCCATTATCCATTACATATCGAAAGAGACTTGATAACACGGGCCTTATCATTATCCCGCGAACAAACAGATTAAAGTAGGAAAAATAATTACGAAATACAAGATTTTGAGACAAGAACGCGTGAGCGGTATGCTACTCATCCACCTGCCAAACTTGGACGCGTTCACTGATCCATGTTTGGTGGTTACTTTGTATATACTGACCATCGCATCGCAATAATGAAAAGGTACCTCGATTAACGGTAATAATATTGTATAAACGCCGTTATAACTATCCCACGCTTACTATAATTGGAGTATACTATCCTTAAATTGGTCTACTTGTTTACGCAACACTTTTCCAGCGTAGATGTCCATGAGGTCAATAAATTCTTTTCGGTACACTTTAGCGTTCAATCGTAGGTGTAACTAATAAAAGGACGCAAAACTTCAATAAATTCTTTTCTTGTATAAGAAAGGTTACTGTATCTCAAACCTTTTTTCTTTTGTCTTATTATGTTCGACAGCATTTGTATTTAATTTCCGACGCCAGGAGACGTTGTCAACTTGGCTCTAAACACGGCCTTGCTAACGTGTCGTCTCCATTAAGGCGTTTGACTAATGTCAAGGACGGAATATACATTTGATACTCTGCTTTTATTAAGCAATGCTACTAAATAGAATGATATATGCTAATTTCGAATCATCCTTCTCGGAGTGATTCAATTGCAATGCTTGAATTCTTTAAAAAAACACGTCTCTTTCTGTCTTGCCGACGGAAATTCTAGAATAGTAAGTGCTATCTATTATAATTGTTTGAAAGCATTAGGAAAAAAAAAAAAAAGACATGAAATCGAGTTACAATTAAAAACTTGCGTCCGTTGATAAAATATTAACCAGATCTTTGCCAGAATGAGCGTATTACCGGTAATAAGTAAGTTAAAGAGAAGAATCAGTTATAAATAATATTTCAAAAGCGAGGAAAAAAGTACTGGTTGGTTAAAACTTGGTTATTATCTTTAACAAATTTTATATAGTCGACACTCCCTAAATGCACACCTCGGGACTGAAAGTGCGTATTTAGAGAACAATGCAATGCAAGTTTGGTGCACTCAACAATAATAAGGCAAATTTTGATTATGCAATAATGTAAGACAATGACCCAAAAAGGGCAAATGAGAATGGGAGAGAAAAAAAAGGGGTAAATAAATACTGGCTACATTCGGTGAGCTGTCGCGTCATTTTCTCAAATACAAACTTTTTCGCGGACAAGACAACGACAACCGGTCGCCGAAGCCAAAGCTATTATCAAACTGAAGTCACTATAACATTAAACAGCCAGTTAGCAAACGGTGATAACTTTCAAAAAGAAGCGTATACTTGCGTGTCCACAGGAACTGTCGTATCTTTCTCAAACGTAAAATTTTTTGCAATAAGATCTTTTCCTCAACAAAACTGGTTGTCGAAGCCAAGCCCATCACTATAATCAAACCAACGTTCCTGTTGCGGTAAACTACTGCATGGTAAGTGGGGAGGAGGGAGGAGAGGGGGAACAACGTTTATAACAGTAAAGTGTCATATTGGCAAAAATTAAGCGCACATATAACAAAAACTGGTCTATCAGTGACTATGAAAGCTTGAAGTAGCACGCCTCAAAGCAAATAAGCGCTATAACATTAATCAAGAAAACTGATTTATTACTATCAATAACTGTGCCAAACATTTAAAGCGCACGCCTCAAGGCTGATAAGCGCTATAACACTGATCAAACTTTCAGTGGCACACCTCAAGGCAAAAAAACGCTTTTTGCGTAATATAACATTGATCAAACTTTTGCAAGTCATGTTTATTCCTTAAACTTGCAGGAAAAAGGGTAATAGTAATAAGCAAGTGTGGGTGGTAGAAAAAATTTTTTTGTGTACTATTAAACTCTGTCCTCGGCATGACGGAAAACTACCGTCTTGATATTAAGCTACCATTTCTTTAACATGCTTTAGCATAAAAGATTTGGTAAAAGTCCTGAACGGCAACCAAAGTGATTTGTCCTCGGCATGACGGAAAACTGCCGCCTTGGTATGTGGCACCTCAACGCGAATGGGGTTTGACGTTTGCAAACGTGGTAAACGGAGAGGCATATTAAGCTACAAATTCTTTAACATGCGCTTTAGCATAAAAAGATTTTGTAAAGTCCGAATGGTTTATTCTGTTTAGGAACCCCCGCTCGACATGCTGCCACCTCAACGTGGTGAGTGGGTGACAACGTCTATGTATATGGACGGCTAAGAGCAGCATGGTATTCCCGCTCGATGAAAGTGGTGAGTGGTGACAACGTTATAGATGCATAACAATACATATATAATTGGTTGCAAAGATGTTATTACAACTCACTAAATCCTTTTCAGAACATCAAACGTTATCAAATCGGAAACTGAATCATTATGGATCAGCTCGTCGTTACAGGTGAGAATTCTCACTGGGTATTTGTTGAGATATTATGTGTCTGAAGGGACGATGCCACTAGGTGTA